GTGTGAAATAGTCGTTTGGGTTCGCGGGAGAGTATGGTTACGAGGGTATTGAAGTCATTAACTTTTGCAGAGGAAAGAGACAAGCTGTATGAGCTCAGCATAAATTTATAGTGGAGAAAGTCAGATGCACAGTAAGACTTTCTTTAACAGTGTTCAGCAGTTCTGGAGCATTTTTGGAGGTATCGAGTGAGCTTGGTGTGCCAGGATTGTTGTTGGGGGGGCCTGTGGCGTTTAAATGTACAAGGGGCCATGATGTCTAGTTGAGAGGAGAGGGTGGAATTGTAGAAGGAGGTTGCAGAACTAGGACAGGTGAAAAGAGAGTTTGGAGATTAGTGGAGAAATGCTCTAGGTCAAGACATTGGAGGTTTCTGTTAGAGTGATGTTCAGACGGTGGTGTCAATTGGGTCTTAGGTATGCCATTGTCAAAAGTCAGCAGATGGTGGTCAGATAGAGGAAAAGGAATATTGGAGAGATTAGAGGCAGTACAGAGGCAAGATCAAGCATAAATGTTAAACTATTAAGAGACAATACAAAAAGCATAGACTGAAAAATACAAATATAAAAAAAAATAATGCAAAAATACACAAAAAGGCAAACTTACATTCAATACTGCACGGCAGGTGAAACACACTGTGGCAGTAAAGTCTCACTGATGTGTACTGGGCACAGTGTCCCTGTCACACGTAGTCCTGCAATGTAAAACACTGCAGTGTTAGACAAACTGAAATGATTACCTTGCTGGATTTAGAGAGCCACTAGAGGGGCTTCCGGGATTTTACCAGACTTTGGGTCGCCTAACTGACGCTGGATGTCCTCAATTTTTGCATGAGGACATCCATTGTCTGTTAAATTCGCTTAGGAAAGCATTGAGTTATTGCCTAATGCATTAGGGATGGCCTAATTCACTCGTTGCGCATGTGCATTAGTCCCCTCATCGGATGACGTCGGAAGGCCGACGGACATCGTAGCTGGAATCTGGTAAGTGTTACAAGGTTTTTTTAACCCTTGCAATGCCGGGGATTGGGGGCAGAGGTAACTATAGTGTTAGGAACACAGATTTCTCTCAGTGCTGCACCAGGATATGCATGCCCCTGGCAGGCTGCAATTGTCACCATGAAAAGGAACATGCCACTGAAAACATTTTTCACCATTTATTAGATATACCCCCAATGAAAACATGGAACTATTTTGTCTGCGTTACTTCTACAGGGTTACATGAAAAACATCTTTGTAAGCCCTCCGCTTCATCCCCAGCACTAACTTTCAGTCTGTGCCAGTAAACTGACCAGTGAGAGGAATCTCATCGAGAAAGCTCTGTGCTGGAGCCATGAGCACAGCTTCCCATTGCATTACAATGAGCTGTACAAATGTTGAACGCAGGTGTGCTCCAGCATAGTGCCCCTGCCACTTAAATAAACTCTGTGGATTGACAGCAGGAAAGCTATTTCAGTGTGGACTTTAAAAAGAGCTGACCTACGACTGAAATCAGCTTTTTTTTTTTAACAGTATTAAATAAATAGACAAACTCCAGACACCGAAAAACTTCAGCAAGCAGTGTTCCTATATGCTAGGAGTACAGCTGGGGAGACAATTAAAGAGAGTTAGTCTCTACACCTAGATACTTTCCTGGCATATCACTAAGGGAAGAGGAGCTGAATAAATGACAGCAGCCACAAGTAGCAGCTTCTGCATAAGGACAGCAAATCCCATTCTCAGGCAGACCAAGACACGTATACCAACTACTAGAGAAAAAAAAAAAGAAGAGTATAGGAAACACTCCTGGATACTGATGGTGCAAGCTTTATTCTAGGGTAAGTTACCCCACTAAAATAATGGAACGTTTTGGCTCAAATAAGCCTTAATCATGCATGTATCCAGAAGTGTTGCCTATACTTTTTTTTCCCCCCTCTTGTGATTATCTGGTATCCATTTTGGTACCATGAACCAGTGTGCAGGGTCTCTTGTAAGAATGTATACCAACTACTGTGCTATGATTAAAGCCTAAAAAGGAAATCGGGCACACCCGGAAGATGCATTTTGCAGGAATGGTGCTGCTGAAAGAAAAGTAGCCTTATAAAATGTAAAAATGTATTTTTATGTGTATGCTGCTCCTTAATCTGTACTATGATTAAAGTCTAACCTAAACCATTTATAATAAAATAGATTTATAGGGAACTCTGAAGTGCAAATGAGGAGAAAATAATGCAATTTCAGCGTTCCAAGACATTTATAAGGCACAATCTTTGATGTCAAGGATTAGTTTGAGGTCTCCAGCGGCACAGGGATTATTATTAAATAAAGAGATAGTCTAGGCGTCAACCACTTATGTAGTGGTTTTGATGCATAGATGCTGTCTTTTTTTCGACGGTGTAAAACATTGCTGTTTCTGAAAAGAGCAATGTTTACATTTGGTCAAAAACATACCTCTGGTGTTGCTTTCTCCATACATCCTTCCAATTTTGAAGGACTTCATGTTCGTCATCATCACGCATAGCATGATTAACTCAAATGCGGCTGATGCTTCAGCACTGGCAGTAGCAGATCCTGCTCTGGCGGTGGAATAAGGGCAAGCTTAAATGACCACTCTAGGCACCCAGACCACTTCAGCTTAATGAAGTGGTCTGGGTGCCAGGTCCAGCTAGGCTTAACCCATTCTTTTATAAACATAGCAGTTTCAGAGAAACTGCTATGTTTATGAATAGGTTAAGCCTTCCCCTAAATCCTCCTAGTGGCTGTCTCATTGACAGCGCTAGAGCTGCGTGATTCTCACTGTGAAAATCACAGTGAGCATAGCGTCCATAGAAGAAAATTGGTAATGCTTTCCTGGCGGCCGACGATCTTTGTAGCGCGGCTCTTGCCGCTCGTGCGCATTCAGCCGACGGGGAGGATCGGAGGAGGAGAGCTCCCCGCCCAGCGCTGGAAAAAGGTAAGTTTTTACCCCTTTCCCCCTTCCAGAGCCGGGCGGGAGGGGGACCCTGAGGGTGGGGGCACCCTCAGGCCACTATAGTGCCAGGAAAACGAGTATGTTTTCCTGGCACTATAGTGGCCCTTTAACTGCAATATTAATTATTTAAATAATAAATAAAATAAAAAACGGGGTTATCTAGACATCAAAAGGAACACATATTTTGATAGAAATAAATAAATAAATAAATAAATAAGAAGGTGGGCAATTCTATCTCCAGAGCTCTTTTGGGATATCACATGTAACACTCACCAGTCCATGGCAGACTGAGACATGTATGTTAAAATACTGCTATGAGAGTAATGAGATTCATGCTGCGTATGAATGGAAAATAACACCATCTCATGGTTGAGACTGACAACCGTTGGACACATCAACATAGTAATAGCTACAATTATACTTCTCCAAGGGTCAAATATCAAGCCAGAGAACAGGCTCTAAAGTATGTCACTTTCTACCTATATATAATTTGCATCTTAAAGGAATACTGTAGGGTCAGGAATACAAAACAGGTATTGCAGACCCTACAATGTTAAAAACACTATTTAGGTGCCCTCTTTCCCCCATAAATAAACACAAAACTCCTTTATTCCAGTGCCGGCAACGTCCCCAATCCGCCTCCTTGTCCGACATCATCAGTATTGATGATCTCAGCCAACCCAATGCTTTCCTGTAGGAAAGCATAGGCTGAGAGTGTCAATTCTAATACCTTACATACCTGTCTCTTGCTCTCTCCTATGGGACAGCTCTTTAATCTCTCCTCCAACTCTGCTTCACTCCCACTCTATTTGATATTTCCTGTCCTAACGTTTCTAATACCCCACCTCCTATAGTCTGTAAGCTTGTTTGAGCAGGGTCCTCTTCAACCTATTGTTCCTGTAAGTTTTTCTTGTAATTATCCTATTTATAGTTACATCCCTCCTCTCATAATATTGTAAGCACTACGGAATCTGTTGGCACTATATAAATGGCAATAATAATAATAGGAACCGAGCCAAACGACCTGATGGCCAATCAGCATCTCCTCATAGAGATTAATTGAATCAATACATCTCTATGAGGAATGTTCAGAGCCTCCATGCAGAGCGTGAAAATGCTAAACGCCAGTGCTGCACATTGTGCAGCACTGACACAGGAAGAACCTCTAGTGGCTGTCTGAGTGACTGCCACTGGAGGTGTCCCTAGGCAGCAATGTAAACACTGCTTTTTCTCTGAAAAGACAGTTTTTACAGCAAAAAGCCTGCAGGGATGGGCTATAGACACCAGAACAACTAAATTACGCTGTCGTTCTGGTGACTATATTGTCCCTTTAATTCAGGTTAGTGTTGCATAAAATGTTATATATTATATATAGCTAGACAGGCCTAGACTGACTCAACAGAAGATAGTATACAGTTGAAAGGCAGTGGACAGACATTAGAAATAAAACTGCAGATAATTAGATGGACACCAGATATGCATGTGTGAGGGTGACCACATTTTACTACACCAATAATTAAAAGACTATTCTCTGCTTTACCAAACAGGCCAGTTTTCCCCCCACGTGCCAGCCACTATAGGGTCAGTGTAATTCTCGCCACGCCTCTTCCCCCTCAACTGACTCTAGGGTCAACCATGCCAGTTACTCTGGGGTCATTCCCCCTCACATGCCAGCCAGTCAGTCAGTCTCACCATGCCAGTCGTCACCTGCCCCCCCATGCCAGCCACTTTAGGGTCATTCCCACCCTCCCCCCATGTCAGTTCCAGCCCCTCTGGGACCAGTCCCCCTCCCACAATCCCCGCCATGCCAGCCACTCTGGGGCCAGTCCCCCTCCCACAATCCCCCAATGCCAG